AGAGAGAGAGAGAGAGAGAGAGAGAGAGAGAGAGAGATGGGGTATACATACAGGTATAGCCATGAGTGGCCAATATATAAAGCTGAAGGATTAGTTGCGGGGCTGACTCGAGAAAGGCCTGGATTATCCGCGATTCACTGGCGGCCATATTCTTGTATATCATATCGCGATAGTGTTGTCGTAGTTGTGATTGTCTCGATTTATAGCCGCTTTTAAGTGCACCGATATATTTCATAATTGGCCTAAACTGTGAGAATAGTGTTATAATTGCTTTCAATGATTTCCAGCTGAAGAGTGGATCCGATCTGAATAGCACTGCCGTCATAATTAGTGATGGTATTAATACAAGAGATAACGTTAGACTAAAATACCTATTGGTTTATGACACAGACATTAGTTAACATAATGTATTAATTATTATTATATAATAAATATAATACCAATAATTATCATTGAGATAGTGATGGACAGCGACCCATATATCGGTGCCGACGTCCATAACATACAATATCATTGAGCCGATGATGAAATACTCGCTGAATTTAGTGAATGTCATATGTTTGAGCGGTGCGGACACAGGTTTGCTGTCACCGCCGGGTGTGATATCGTGTGACGGGCCGTCGCCGCCGCCCAAACAGCACTCGGCCACTGTTTGGACAACATTTTTCGGTGCATTGCATGACTGACCCTCTGGTTCGGGTGTGATGTCGGGTGTGTTAGCTCTCAGACCCGAAAGTCCGGCGTTGATTGGCCGGTAATCTGTGGTCTTTGATGATGTGGTGGCAATCATTTGATCCATTTGAATGCCAATCGGTGTCTTATTCTCACCATTATTTTCATGGATTGGTGATTGCATTTTATACATGTGATGTAAAGCTTAGGTACAATTTAGTTGATTACAAACACATATTGTTCAATATTGAACACAATTTTTAAAAATCAGTCAACTCGTGTTCTTATAATTAATTCTTGCGATTAAAACAAGTTTTATAAATAAAAAAGCTTTTGAGCTAAAAGTTTTGTATAAAATATTGTTCATTCATAGAATCCAGCGTTTGCTAGATATTATATTTGTAACATATTACAGTATTATCCAGGCAATCCTGTCCATTCAAACCCATACTATCTATTATGCATCACATCGTTTTGATCTCACATTTCATGTTAACAATGTTTTGTTAAATATTTGTTAAAATATACAAATAAATTATAGAACTGGATTATATTATAAACAAAGCGTTACAACTTTATGCCATTCATTTAAGTAATAAAATTTTCTATCATTGCATATAATTTGATATCAAGTGGTTTAGCTCTGGCTTTGCTTATTGTGTGGTCTTTTAAATATTAAAAAAACACATTTAAAATATTATATTTCAATAAAACATTCATTGATTTAAAGTAATTTTATTTATTTTGAACAACTTTTTGATTGAAACATAATTACATTTAATATATGATATAACATAAACAATTACACGAGAAAACAATTTAATAAACTAATAGTTATGTATATATTAGTGTCAATTCGTAGGCATTTATTGTTCAGATGATGTCCTATATGTTCGCAATCACCGCTCGCGTATTGGCTACAATTTTATTTGCCAAACAATATTGAATTACAAATTATGTAATAATTTGTAGCAAAACTAATTTCATTTAAGATCTATTCATTTAATATGCGATAATAATTGTGTCTTTCAATAGATACTTGTTTCTTAGGCTTTTATTTATAAATACATTATTCTTTCAATCATAAGTATGTTTATTATTTGTTATATGTTTACTGTTAAATGATTGAATATTTAATTTGATGCTTGATTAAAATTCTCAATTTTCTTAAATTACTTTTTATTATCTGTTTTCTATTGATATGAAACTATAATTTGTTTTTTTACTGATTTTTAAAATAATATTTATAAATAAATAAATAACAGTAAATTAAGTTCAAAGCTTAAAACAGCAATTAATTGACATAATATTTAATGTTTTCAATATAAAAATAAGTAAAAATATTTGAATTCAATTAAAAACCTAAGTTTAACCTAAACTAAACTAAGCTAACTTATAATAACTTAATTAATAATATTTAACTCTATGTAATGTGTTTAAAGTATAATAAATCTAACTTAATTATTTTGAAAAATGTGCTACAAACGCATGAATGGCTATTACACCATATTATTAAATTACATATTGGATAATGAAATATTAAATTTTACATTAAAATAATACTATATTTTAAAATACATAAAATTCATTATTTAATATTTTTAATTAATCTCTTAATACAATAATATGTTTTATTCTAGTTTTAAATCATATAATGCTTTAACGAGTGGTCCGTAATATTCAATGCCTTCTGTTATTACTTCAATCGGTTCTGATCTCCGGATTTCACTCATTATTTCCAAGTCTTTCAATGAAGTCATAAATGTTTGTAATTTTGTTTGTGATTCCGATTCCGAGCGGTATTTCAATAGTAGATATCTTTGCAGTAAATATATATACAGTTGTTGTTCGAGTCTAACAAATATTAAAATACAAATAATATAAATAACTCTAAATAATATTAACAAAACCAAACCTAATTATATCCCTATGGATCAGATTCGGCAGGTTTGGGTTANTGCAGTAAATATATATACAGTTGTTGTTCGAGTCTAACAAATATTAAAATACAAATAATATAAATAACTCTAAATAATATTAACAAAACCAAACCTAATTATATCCCTATGGATCAGATTCGGCAGGTTTGGGTTAAATAGGATTATTGCCGATAACTGCAAATATAATAAAAGATTTAAACTTAGCTTGATTAATGTAATACTGATAATTTACATAATTCATTTTCAAAATTATAAGATAAAAATGACCTACCAAATTTAATACAATGAGATCCCATTGCCATTCGGGGAGTATTTTATTTAAAAATCTTTTAAATATATTCTCGACTAAAATATCGGATTCTTTAACTTTAGTGACAAAAGGTTTGAATGTTTCAAAATTAGCAACAATTGTATTTTCATTGTCCTATTTAAGCATAAAATGTAATATATTTTATTTAAAAATATATTTGATAATTTAATATAAAGCACATATGTTTTGGGAAAGTCCAGAAGGGGCTAAACTTTTACAGCACTTAATTACCTCTAGCACCTACACCGCTTATGCAATCGACGATCTGACTTCAGGAACCTATTCCCAGATAAGTGAAGACAAAATATGCTATTGACATTATATATAAAATGTGCTTGGTTATATAAGCAATTGTAAGTCAAAGTCGCACTAAATTTGCATAGACCCTAATGCAAAATTCAAAAATTTTTCAAAAAACCTTTTTTAACATAAACAATATATACACCAAAATATTTTTGGTCAAAAATAATTTTATACGTGTCTCGGCAATTTTCTTATAAATGTCGTATTGTAGAAAATATAAGCAATAAAGTGTGTGAAATTCAATGTTTCCCATATTGCTCTATGTGCTTTATGCAAATTTAGTGCGACTTTGACTTACAATTGCTCATATAACCAAGCACATTTTATATTTAATTTCAATGGCATATTTTGTCCTCACTTATCTGGGAATAGGTTCCTGAAGTCAGATCGTCGATTGCATAAGCGGTGTAGGTGCTAGAGGTGATTAAGTGCTGTAAAAGTTTAGCCCCTTCTGGGCTTTCCCAAAACATATAATTTAATGTACAGTGCAACTTCTCCATAATGAACGGCCAGTTGCACGACAAAAGTGTTCATTATATGGAGGGTTCATCCAAGGGAGGTTTGAGTAAAAATGTCATATTTTTGAGTAATATTTGAAAATTATTATAAACAATAGCAATTATTAAAAATGATCAGTAAATTTAGTTTGTTTAGCTGTATTTAAATGATAATTAGATGCTTTAATCTTAATTTTGTCCGATTGTTCAAACATTTGATCATCGGATGCCTTTTTGGATATAAAATAGAACTATAAAATGCAATATTGAATGACACTATGAATGAAAATGTGTTATTTGTTTGCTTAGTCTCAGATTAGAAACTAGTTGGAATACTTTTAGAAATAATATGCCTATTATTATATTTGTTCATTATTGGGAGTGAAAATTTTATCTTAATCTTTATAAATCCGTTCATAATGGGGAGGTATTCATTATGGAGAAGTTTATCTAAGGGAGGTTATTTTAGCATTATAAGTATAGGAAATCCAACATAGATTTCAAAACCGTTCATTATAAGGAGGTGTTCACCCAAGAGAAGTTTACCCAAGAGAAGTTGCACTGTATTTGTAAAGTGACGTTCAAATTGATTGCCATTCAATGGTTGGTTATTTGATTGGTTACAAGTGATGTACAGACTGTACAGTACTGTATGAGTGAGAGTGAGAGAGAGTTAGTGAGAGAGAGCGCCACTCGTGCTGTGTATTGTGCTATGAATGCATTGAATGCATGCAATGATTGGGAAACTGATTCAATGAATGGTTTGTTGAGATTTGTCGACATTTGTGTGTTTGATGTGAACATTGAATGACTGAACGACTGAACGGTTATTCAATTATTGATTCATTTGTTGTTTTAGTGGTAAACCAATTGTGATTACTAATGAATGGTTTGTTGAGATTTGTCGACATTTGTGTGTTTGATGTGAACATTGAATGACTGAACGACTGAACGGTTATTCAATTATTGATTCATTTGTTGTTTTAGTGGTAAACCAATTGTGATTACATTTGACTCCCATTACAATCATATGTCGAGTGATTGACACAAGAAGTGCACATATAATGAAGGGATAGTCACTTGAATTGGTCTCATCTGTTTGAATGTCTGCAAAGATGTCCACTTCAATGCACTTTGTGTTAAGCCCTTTGCCATCGACTGATGAACAGCTCAATGAGAGGTATGTCTCCTATCAATGCTTTTTACTCATTATCTCAATGTTATTGTCTTTGTATTTGTGGTTAGACTTCGGGAGACGAGTGAAAAGAGTGGTCGAAACGGATGTCAAGCGAACGCGTCATCAGTTTTCCAGTCCATCAAAACATTGTCTGTGAGTCAGTGTTGTGTCGGCTCTTCTCATATCGCACTTCTTCTTGAGGTATGTCTTCGAGTGTCCTTCGATTGATTTGATGCCATAATAATGATAACAAAACTTGTCATTGAATTGAAAGGACGGACGCATTTGTCGGGTCTCTTATTCAGTACTCACCGATCGGTTGGATTTGTCGACCACTGAGTCATCAAAAATGTATTTTAAATCTTTGAATTCAATTATTGATTATTAATTTTAAATTTCTTGTCATAAAAATAGCGTTAATCTGAAAGGAAGTATTGGTAGTCATGTGTCGAGTCTGGCCTCCAATCAGCGGTCAAGTCCTGCGGCCCGAAGAGGGCGTATATTACGGACGTCGAGCAACGGGAGAGGTCGGGGCGGTGCCAGCGTTATAATGGGTGGACGACCTGTAGTTCCGGCGCCCTTTGTTCCCGAAGATCTGGTAACTCAGGCACAGGTTGTACTTCAGGGCAAATCACGAAACCTGATAATCCGTGAACTGCAACGAACCAATTTGGACGTCAATCTCGCCG